CTAGCTAGAATCGAAATAAGCTCGATAAAGAAAGCAAGAGTCATGTGATACACGCGAGGAGACGCGAGCAGCCGCGTAGCGTTAAGATGCGCTACGCAAACGTTCACGTACTTAAGGGCAAAACATTGCGAAGGCGTTGAGTTGACTGTGCCATAACTCTCCGTTCGCATATATGTATGCTGGCCTGGCGGGTGACCACAATTGGTGGAGAACAGGCTGGTCCCACGCCAAACCCAGCCCCGCCCAGCGTCCGCAACGAACAAGACAGCAGCTGAATGCATCTCAAAGCACCTAACTGATTCAGCATGGAAGTTCGGTATATCGAGTCAAGGTGGCTTACTCACATATTGCAGTGCGTTCATGTTGAATCGTGGATCCCTGAATGACACATTGTCCTTGATAGGCCCTCCGGTGTCCTAGAATCTTTGCAAATTTGAAGCTGAGCGAAATCAGCGGAAAGGATGATGGGGAGCGACAGTATGTGACAAGGCAGTCGTAATATACTGCCCTGGTGGGCGTGGCAAACGACGCCCCACACAACGGACGAGTTGTTCTGCCTGCGTTTGAATTTAAATGTTGAAGGGATGGGAAATTTCGATATCGCTTATCATGGAGTCTTGTCTAATCATTAATTCACAACAATTTCGCTGCTCAAGTCGATAAACTGATGTGCCGCATCGCAGGGGACCTGTCGCGCATCGCCCCACGATAGGCCGCGCGCGACGCCGCGACAAATTACGATTGTCTTGTCCGTATCCAACATTCCACTGAAATATTCACAAAGCCAAGCGCTCAGAGACACGTAGACCTATGCAGTTTTTTCAGGGAAAACTCCAGGGAAATCTTCTGCGTACAGTAGGGCCGAATGACGCCGTCGTCTTGTGATACTGATATTTCGGTGATTGACCTACTTTTGGAGATTGACCTACTTTTTTTGGGTATACCTCTTGCCACAGAGAATTTTCAGGAAAATTCTAGACTAATTTCTGATAAATGGGGCAATAAAAGGTAGAGAGCTAGCCAGTCAGGAGTTGAGGAATTGAGCCTCAGCTGCAGGCAGTCAACAATTTCCATAGTTTATTAAATTGTAGCCGCTACTTGTTATACATTGAGCCGAATCCTCAATTGCTATTATGACTGGGGAAACCACTGAATGGCGTGTCTAGCACGTCATCACCTTTCTATTCCAATGTAAACTGTATAATAGGAATTCGAATAAGCTGAATAAGCTAGTAAGCTGAATAAGCTAGTAATACTAATGACACATCGATCGATCAAACGGGTCTTTATGAGCCCATCGCCACCGTTGACAAAGTGGCTATAGTCGCCACAAACTTGCTCTAAACCATTCAGCAATACTGTCTCATAAGCTATTCATGGAAGGTTACGGTCTTTTAGTGGTTTTTGCCACTCAGAAAACCCTTTTAATGCCCCTCGCAGTGCTTAAATACCCTGCACAAATTATTATACAGAGCGTATCAAGGCGTATATATCTTTTTAACAAGATTCTACGGCATTCCTGAACCCGCACACATTACAGCTCGAATATGGTGGGAATGTAGGCGCCAAGTGCCATTCTAATCACATCGCGATCGCTTACAACCAGCAGAAATGTCATTAGTTTTCTCTCGTCGGAAAGGAACGGTAAAGGGTACGGTAAAAGGTACGGTAAACCGAATATATTAGCGTGGTCGAAATGGCTAACTGAAAGGGAAGGCATCTGTCTGAGCAGGCGATCTGCGAAATCGTTTACTGCAAAAGACCCTTTCTCCGCCCCGAAAGGGGACCCAACAAGGCCTATATGTCAAAAATATTTTCACATCTGATCCCCACATTCCTAAAGGAAACTGTTGGCCCAGGAAAGGAAAGGGAGAAGATGTGATCACGATTTCAGGATAATGTGGGTAGAAGTCTTATTTTGCTGCACAGACATATCCTGTCTTCTGTGAAAACTTGCAAATGAAAACTGTTCCTCAAGTTTCTTACTCTCGTAGACCCGTTCCCCATGCTACCTATTATCTTGCCTTTTTCCATCTTCTCACCACATTTTTCTTCTTCCTGAAAGAATTTTTCACTCCGGCAAAGGCTGCTCCCGTCGAGCTGGAAAGGAGGAGCGAGGGCAACTAGGGCATGGCGGTAAGTGTCAAGGTGTGACCTTGCAGTGGCGATCACGACCTCCATTAGCGACATCGAATTATACTGCTGGAGATAATCCACCGTATGATGTCTGTCCGTGCCTCAATCCTTCTCGAAAATTCCACACCGTTCGCATCTTACAATAAGCAGACCGCTCTTGACAAGACGTCTACGATCACTACCTCCCCGCGTCTAAGTAAGGGAGGGGGAAGGAGGAAAGGGGAAGAAACCCGGGGATGCAAGAAAGTATTTGAAGCACGGTAATTCTGTACGGACTCCAGTAGTGAGAACCCTTTAATGCCCCCTCTCAAAGTTATTAGCTACCCAGATGTTTGAGAGGAACGTTTCTCCAGTTAGATTCGGAGCAGGGTCTCTTGTTCACTAACAGATAGCATGTGGTACCAGGGGGATCAAGTCAGGAGATCCGGCTGCGGCGGTGCGACATCCGCATCACGACTTGACTGACTTTATGTCCATGTGCTTACGAATTCAGGGCAGACCAAAATCAGCGTTGTGATCTTCCCCGAAGAACACGACCCCCCAATCCATCCTCAAAATTAAACGGGGAAAAAAACCCCCCTCCACATTGCTACCTACCACTTCCCTAGACTTTTCCTAACTTCCTACCATTTTTTCCATTTTTTTCAGTTTCCAGAAATTTCCAATTTTTCAGCCAAGAATTTTCCGTCGAGCGGGTGGGGGAGGTATATACCCAATGTGAAACAGGAGAATTCCTCAGATTTTTCCCTAACCTCCTACCAGTTCTTCCAAAACTTCTCCAAATTCCTTTTCTCCAAATTTTTGATGTGGTAGCTCGGAGTGGTGGGGGAGGTCGTCAGGGATTCAACTTATCATTTTTCAACAACCGGGAATAAGAAGTAGTTGTAGAATTTCTGGCAGTTCGCCTCTTCAACAACGACCAAATAGGACCCCCCCTTGTGGTCACAACGATGCGCCGCCGGCTTTCAATGGCTTAGAGTACACTGCATGATAGGGCCAGGTAGGGAAATGCCGACAGCAGTTTCTGCTGTCGCCGCCACTGCGATCTCCTGTCCCAGACGCGGCACTCAGCGGTTGAATGCGTAGTCGCTGAAAATGGGTTTACATAGGGCATATAATATAAAGGAAACGGTAAT